AGTTCCAAGAGATCCACCCAAGGCAAAACACCAATGCACATAAAATAAAAATAAATAAATTAGCCGAGCATGATGATGCACACCTTTAATCCCAGTGTTCAGGAGGCAGAGGCAGGTGGATCTCCGAGTTTGAGGCTAGCCTGGTCTACAGAGTGAGTTCCAAGACAGCCAGGGCTACATAGAGAAACCCTGTCTCAAACAAAACAAAACAAAACAAAACAACAAAATTAACAAAAGTCTATGTCCAATGTCTCTGCTGTTTTCCCTCCTCCTCCGTACTGGGTGTAACTGTCAGCTCACCCTGTAAGCATCCCAAGCTAGCACTGACATGGACTGCAGGTAAGGAACTCTTCCCTCGGAACAACTGACTGACACAGAAATCTTTACAAACACACTCAATAATATTTTTTAATTTTTGTTTTGTGTTTTGTTTTTTAAGATGGGCTTTCTCTGTGTATCCCTGGCTGTCCCAGAACTGGCTCTGTAGACCAGGCTGGCCTCAAACTCAAGAGATTCACCTGTCTCTGCCTCTTGAGTGCTGCAGTTAAAAGCATGCACCACCACAGCCTGGCTAATTTTTATCAGTTTTTTTAATGGACCAATAAGTTTAACTAGGGTTAATACAGGGGTATGGATGAAGGGTTATTTGCAGGAGGGGCAAGGCCACTGAAGAAAATGCCTTTCCCTGCCCCAGCAAATACTCAGTGATTCTTGACAGCCAACTGTGGAATAGGAGCAGGGAACTTAATTATAAACCTGGGCAGATACAGCACCTGGATATAAATCCAAACTCTACAGTTTCCTAGCTGTTTGCCTCTAGACAAGTTACCTCATTTCTAAAATAGAAATAGTATTGTCCACCTAACAGAGATCACTCAATAACCTTTGGCTGCTATTACTACTAGTAGTAAGACATGGCTGCTTTTATTTAGAAAATTAATACAAGCAGAAAGATCCAATTTTATTGTGGGCTAATATAACATTCCCCTATTACTCATTCATTAACAAGCATCTCTTACTACAGGTATGTGCCATCCTATTGGTTCAAATATCTCTTTCAAGAACAGATATTTAATAAGTACTCTTAACTCGGAGTTCATGAGTTCAAATCCTGACTCTCGCAGAGTTTTGCACCTTTGGCAAGTCACTAACCTCTCCTCGCCTGTTATAGGAATATTAACGCCTGCCTTCTGGGACTTGTTCGAGGGTTGAATGTGTTAATGTACACACAGTGTCACCTACTGCATTAGGCCCCAGCTTCTCTAGTCAGTTTAGTTCAATATTGCACACAACAGTGTATTAGGCATTCTCAGGAGACAAGGTTAGGTAATCACAACTCTGGCTTGCAAGACTCTGGAGCACAGGGCTGAGTGTGCTGGCCCACACAATTGGGAGGTAAAGACAAGAAGATGAGACTTGGCTACACAGTGAGTTTGAGGTCAGCCTGAGCTATAGGAGACCCTGCCTCAAAAACCAAACAACCAAGAGTTTTGAGGCCAGTGAAATGGCTCGGTGTGTGAAGACATCATCCTACCAAGCCTAACCTGACTTGGATTCCCCTGGACCCACACAGCGAAAGAAGAGCACCAATTCTGCCAGATTTTCCTGATCTTCACAGGGAAACTATGGCATGTCTGTCACACATAAACACTAAATTTAAATACCTGGGAGATAGAATCAGATGAACTCTGAGTTCAAGGTCAGCCTGGCCTACACAGCCAGCTCCAGATCAGCCAGAGAGCTACAGAGTGAGATCCCCCCATATGCCCCCCCAAAAAACCTTAATGTAATAAAAAACAAATTTGGGTGGGGGGGAAAAAGAACAATACACTTTAATAAGAGGCATAATATATACATTCAGCATTAAAGTAGTAAGATATATTAACAAAGGTATCAAGATGGATAGATAACACATATAATCTGTGTTTAATGTTTAAATTTTGCACATATATATCTGTATATATCTTCGATATAACCAAGTGTCTTATAAGTGAGTATGAGGGCTGACAAAATGGCTCAGCAGGTAAAGGTGCTTTTCACAAAAGCCTGGTGTCCTGAGTTTGCTCCCTGGAACCCATAGAATAATAAGAACCAACCCCACAAAGCTGTCCTCTGGCCTCCAAATATACACACACCTCATCCCCATCATGCATAATACAGGATAAATGATAACTTCTGTAAACATGAATATGACCACACATAGTTGTGCATCCCTTTAATCCCAGTACTAAGGAAGCAGAGGCAAGTGGATTTACTCTGAGTTTGAGGTGAAACTGGTCTACATAGTGAATTCCAGGCCAGCCAGAGCTACAAAGTGAGACCTTGTCTAAAAAAAGGAACAAAGAAAATAACCATGATACACAAGAATGATTAGACGAACATATAGTCTGTATAGGACAAGTCAAAGAAATATATGCATTTATGATGTGTTGATACCTGTTCTAACCCAGCACGCCTGCCCAAGTGCTAGTTGCTATACCATACAAAGACCAAGCAGTCCCTACTTTACAAAAAATTAATGTGGGGGAGGGGAAAACAATTTAATCTGCATTAGTGTTATTAGAGCACCAAGCAGGAAAGACTAGCCGTTCCAAGCCCCCTTACCCAAATAAGCCCCAAGAACTGCACGTTACCTTAGGCCATCTGGGAGAGCTTCATCTGACTTGGAAGCACATAAAGTAGAGGATTCCGAAGGACTGGGGGCACTGGCCCCAAGGCCAGCTACCTCAGGGGCCGCCATCTGCACTCTGGACATTCAGAAACAAAGAACAAGATACAAGTTACAAAGCTGAGGACTTTCTTCTGCAAAATGCCCACTGTATCAGTTCCTCCAAACACCAAGAACTAAGGCTCTGAAAAAAACACCGACGAAAGAGTATTCTGCAGGAGGGCAATAAAAAAAAAAAAAAAAAAACCCACTTCGTGCCATATGTCCCAGCCAGCACCAACCCTCAGGAGCTGTCATAGGTACATAAATATCTAGGAGTCAATGCAAAGCTTTTACTTTCTCTCTTGACAGAAATACTGTCATTTAAAATAGATGACAATATGATACGAATTTTCCAAATGGTCTGCCTTGTCTATTACCATTTATAAAAGATGACCTTTTTGGCCCAGAATCAATAATATGTTTACAAATCACTTTTTGGCTGTTGCAGTCAGGGCATTCTCTATTAATTTAAGAGAAGGATTTTTTTGGGAGTTGTTTCCAAGAACAAGTCCTACCATACTGGACCATCTCCATGGGGTGTCTTTTTATCCCATCAGTATCCCTTCCCTATAGATGGGAATAGTCTGATATCTGCCAAGAACAGATTATTAGCAAGTTACCACTGTGGCAAAACAGGTTGCTACTTGGTTACTCCAGAGGAAAAGGAGATGCTGAAAAACATGGTAACTCAAGTAAGGGAACCCGGGAAGACGCCTTTTTATTTTTATATTTAAGAGCGCCCTTTTTGCTGCAGAATAAACTCGGCCTTCTACTGTGAGAAGAAAAACTAGGTGGTAAAGGTAGGATTAGTTCACATTCCCGTTTTTATTTTGACAGTACCACAGGAATACCTCTGAACCCAGGAGAGAGCATAAGAGCAAATACCAGGCTGAATCAACAGTCACAGCCCAGTGCCTCAGTTTCCTCTCATAATAAAAAGCTCCTGGGGGAAAATGGGCCCTGAAACGCCATTGCTGTCTCGGATGCAAACATTCTGCCTCCAACAGGGAACAAGGTCTGGGTCACCGGTGCTCGGTAAAGGAAAACCTTAAGGCAAGGGTCATCCGTGAAACTCCGCGGCTAAAGCCCAAAGCGAGAGAGGGTGGGGGGTCGCACATCTGGCCGGAGAGTCCAGGATACCCAGGGGAACCCTGCAAGCCGGTGGCGGTCACCAGCCAGGCGGCGACGCAGAAGGGGACAATGGGGGGAAGCAGCGCCGGGTGGTCGCCGCCACTCGTCCCAGGAGACGGCCGCTAGCACCGGCCAGCCGCACCTCCGCCCCTGCCCC